TTCTGGAGAATCAGAACGAACCCAACACTTTAGTATTCGAAGTTTTTCTCTATCTTCAATGATAAACCCTGTAGAAGCTGTTTGAATATACGAAATAACCCTGTATCCCACTTTCGTTTTCCGAATGAATGAATTGAATGGGTGGTACTGATAGAAGCGTGTAGTACAATATCATGCGAATATTCGATAATTTCAATACGATCAACAATGATGCTTTATTGCTTTGAGAAAAATCCCCAAAAATCCTTGGTGATAATAATAATCCACCCATTCATCAAATCATTCAAGCTTGATATCTGAGATTGTTATCAGTTTTTTCTGTTTCGAGTGGAAGATTATCATCAACACGTGTATAATTTCAATTTTCTTGTTTTGTTTCAATAATCAATTTATTTTATGATATTTATATTATCACACTGGTCCATCGGATATAATCTTCCGACAGGAGCGAAATATTCTCGGAAATATTGACGCTTCACCACAAACTTAGATCATTCCCTTTCATTTGCTTATTAATTCAACTCGTTATCGCATGACGGGAGATAATCTTGTACTTGCTCAGATCCAAGGTTTCATTTCACTTCCCGTCAAGCAGATGAAACCAAGTTGAATTAATAGAACAGTTTTGGCGCAACTGTCACAGTCTTAGTGATTGATGTAAACCTCCTCAAAACCAATGAACTTCCCTCAGTATTACCTGATAGTTCTGATTGGTTAGAAAAACAGAGGTTGATAAGAAAATACTCTTTTCCGTCGACCTCGTATTAACGACTAAGTTTAATGTATATGAAATCGTTCATTAATGACCCCTATTAATGAACGATTTGTCTATTAATACACGATTGTTTTATAGGCAACCAAACATACACCGCGTGCATTCATTGTTCATGCTATAACTTACGGAATCTGCATTTAAATCGCAAATATGGATTTCATCGAAGATTTTCCGTTAACGGGTTCGCCTTTCCAAGTTTCTGACACGATTTTAATCCCTGTTTTCTAACACAAGGAATTTATTTTCTACGTTGATCATTTCGACAAATGTCAAATGTCAATAATGTCAGTAACAAGGCTACTGGGTGATTCTTAGCAGTTTCCAGATGAATGATGAATTCGCGAACCAAGTTTTCTTCATTGCAGGAGAAATGAGAAATATAGTCGACGGAAAAATTTTGTAACCAACTTGTATATTAAAAGGCGATTAATGATCTCGAACATTAACGCGCTCGCTTCGCTCGCACGTTAAAATATCTCGATCATTAATCGCCCTCATTAATACACTAGTTGGTTAAATAACTATTATTGAATAAATAAATGTAAAAAGCTCACAGTCATTTCCACCCAGTGTTCATAAAAAAATGAACAACAATTGTAGATTTCGGGAGAAAAACAACTACTTCCCTGGCTAATGCCACGCAGGATATTGAATTACATCCTCCCGAAATCTATGCTTCGATTCGTTTAAACGAATACTGATACAAGTGATTCTTTCCTGAATGCCTATTGATTTCGATTAAGCCAGGCCGCTAGACAACCACAGACCGGTTTCGAGCTCTTTGACTCTCATCAGTGCAGTGTAGTCTCCAGCCGGCAGTCCTAAGACCGCCGACTGAGCGAAGCCTAGCCAAACAAAAATCAAGTTGGCATTATATCCACCCCGAGGCGTCTTTCATTGATCACTTGTATCAGTATTCGTTTAAACGAATCGATGCATAGATTTCGGGAGGATGTAATTCAATATCCTGCGTGGCATTAGCCAGGGAAGTAGTTGTTTTTCTCCCGAAATCTACCATTGTTGTTCATTTTTTTATGAACACTGGGTGGAAATGACTGTGAGCTTTTCACATTTATTTACTATTTCATTCCACTGTGAGCATTGTGGCTATTTCGTAGTTCTTATCACGCCAGTCGGGCTGCCAGCCACTCCCGTATGGGAATTTCAGTTTTGGAGTGATTCTTTCTTCGGTTCTACTCAGATGGCGTTACTTTCATTTTATCGATGAAATACGCCTCGGGGTGGATATAATGCCAACTTGATTTTTGTTTGGCTAGGCTTCGCTTAGTCGGCGGTCTTAGGACTGCTGGCTGGAGACTACACTGCACTGATGAGAGTCAAAGAGCTCGAAACCGGTCTGTGGTTGTCTAGCGGCCTGGCTTAATCGAAATCAATAGGCATTCAGGAAAGAATCACTTGTATCAGTATTCGTTTAAACGAATCGATGCATAGATTTCGGGAGGATGTAATTCAATATCCTGCGTGGCATTAGCCAGGGAAGTAGTTGTTTTTCTCCCGAAATCTACCATTGTTGTTCATTTCTTTATGAACACTGGGTGGAAATGACTGTAAGCTTTTCGCATATATTTACTATTTCATTCCACTGTGAGCATTGTGGCTATTTCGTAGTACTCTTTATTGTTTTATTTTGTATGTATAAGCTGTTAGTTGTGACTGGTTAGAAAAAAAGAGGGAGATTAGAAATTACACTTTATTGTTTCATTCTGAATGAGATCTCTAGTTTCATGTATTACTTATATTTACAAACATTCCTATGCGCTATATTTGACTATACATTACAAGCGACTCGTAATCTGTTCAATGGATTCATTTGTATCATCCTTCAATCCTATTTTATGAAAGTCAAATCATGTGCTTTGTCATGTTGCTCAGAATAGGCATAGAAGAATGCAGGAGATTGCAGGAGAAGATTTGGTCGATATTATGTACTCAAGGGCAAAAAAACAAGTCAGCAGAAAAATATGCTGAATTGATCGTTCTGTAACTTTGTGAATTCTCTTCTGATTCTGGTGAAATTTTTACGAAATGGTTGATTTTTGTAACGGATTGTTATGATGGATTTCAGTTCTCGAGAAAAACTGATGGCTTGATCCTTATACAGAAAAAAATAGAAGACAAACTTTCACTCTTGACTTCTCACTAACGCTCTGTGTCAAAGATGAGTGGTTAAACTCAACTTCATTATGTTTGGAAATGAAGTGTGGTCCCATTTCAACAAAATGAATCATGATTCACGTCAAAATATTCTTCTTAAGAAGATACAAGTGTTATGAAACCAACCAACCTTCTGCATCATCATGTTTTGGATCTCTTTGCATCTCTCCTCAACACATCGGTTTTCAATTCACGTCAATAACTTCATCTCAGAGAAGATAAAAGTATTTCAAGAAAGTGAGGAATTTTGAAATTTTGATTAACAATAATTCAGAACCTATAGAGAAGAATTTGGGGCCATTCCTCAAGAAATTTGATCTCGATGCCACGGTAAATGAATGCTGTAATTCAAGCTCGAGGATAGCATTATTCTACGACCACCTATGGAAACAGCACAAAACACATTGACTAAGTCGTGCTTATAGACCCCTACGTCTATATGCTTACAGAAAAGACATTCATGTCAGATTCTGTAGACTATCGCAACACCTGTTATTCTCTCAAAGTGGTTTAATGTTCCACTTACAGATGGTGATAAACCTAGAATCTCAAGACTAAGAGATTCTAGGGAAATTTCGTGAATCGATTGTCAGCTGATGCAAGACAGACTGTTTCGACTTGCCATAAGTCTCATCAGTTGCACTGGCCAGCTGACAATCGATTCACGAAGGGTACCTCCATATATCAAACAAGTCGAAGCCCTGAGGGGGCAGAAGGACGATCTAGCCTTCATAGCCATCTAGTGGCTTGAGTACAAGGTGTATAGGTAGATTCATCAATCATACCTTGCGACTAAGTCGTGCTTATAGACCCTTGTTGAGTTAATGGAAAGTTACTGTCGATTTAACATGAGTTATTATCGTTAATGTTGACGTAATGTTAAGTTGGAATCAAGTTAATTTCAATTGAAAGTTGAATAAATGTCAATGTATTGGCAATTTAGTGATTAATGTGAAGTTGGTGTCAATTTGATATTGAGTTGATGTTAATTTGATTTTAAGGTGATGTCAAGTTGAGTTAATGTTGATTTAATGTTGAGTTAATATTGGATAATTATTGAGTTAATGTCGAGTTGATGTAAAGTCAATATTAGGTTAATTTTGAGGTGATGTTGAGTTGATGTTGAGTTGATGTCAAGTTGAATCCGAGTTAATGTTAAGAAACTGTTGAATTTATGTTAAGTTCATGTTAAGTGTATATTAAGTTGATGTTAGGTTAATGTTGAGTTGATGTTAAGTTCAAATTAAGTTGATGTTAAGTTAACGTTAAACTAATGATGTCATTCAACTATTGAAGTTAAATAAAATAATAATGATGATGATATCACCTTCATGTGATCGAATATGATTAGAAACATGATCCCTACTCTGGTCTCATAAACACTCATGACATATTATATGAATATTTGTGGTCGTAGGAAAAATAGTGTGCAAAACTCGTTGGAAAGTTCATTTCCTGCGCTCGTTTCGTTTCCGCACTCGCCGCTCTGAGGCTCGTGCTAAACGTCACTCGCGCGAAATATGTCAATTTTCACCCTAGTTATGTAATATACTATTTCGTTGTCGACCACATCTGGTAGATCTGATTGCTATTTGTTTCTAGTAACTCAGATTCAACTTTGCTGGTGAGTGATAAGAAACCGGAGGAAAAATAAGTGATAGCAACTTTCAAGTTCATGTAGGTTCTGAAAATCAAGACATCCATACTTTCTTAAAGCACATGTATCTCTTCTTGATAAAAAAATATTCACCTGAACCAAAAACCATTGTGTTAATGAGAGATCACACGTCAATATAAAACATGATGAAGCTTAGTTCAATCACTTACTTTTGCCACAGGCCGTTGAGAGGTTAAGCGTAATATAGTAACTTTTGTGTTTCCTTATTTGATAATCAATTCATCATATTTTTCTGGCAACTTATATTCAGGTCAACATTTCGAAATATTTATCTACGATTTAGTCGAAATTCCACCAAAATTGGACGAGAATTGAGAGAAGAAGTTCCATTTGGCTACATTTTTTGCTGTCCGGTATTTTTGCCTGTGAGTGTATAATACAAACTACACAACCTGATCCAGTTTTCTCATAATCTGGGCTTCGCACGAGCTTTGAAGGGTCTAGGTCCAGGTGTGACTCCATCTGACCATTCGGTGGTCGGAGGATGTTCGGGTACTATGCTGAAGGTGAACTTTTGCATCATGGTTGCAACGAAGAGGAAAATGTTCGCCCTAGCCAACGACTCTCCCAGGCATCTGTGTTTGCCCAAGCCAAAGGGCAGGAAGCCATCAGGCAGGGATATTTTTCCGTTCTTCAAGAACCGCTCGGGTCTGAATTTTTCCGGTTCATCAAAGCCACAACCTTCTTGCAACATGGAGCCATACAAGTTGCCAACCACCAGAACATCCTGAAACATAAGAACTGATGCAATGAAATTTGCATTATTGAACCTAGCATGAGTCTCACTATATAGGGCGAAGCCAAGACTCAAGTGATAGGAGCTCCTGTGAATAGAAGGGGATACTCAGGTAAAACTATCCAGATCTCATTTGATAGTCAGGTAACCAGAAATTCACTTGATTGTTATCAAAAACAACTCAGAATAGTTCGGGGCTGCTTTCATGACATCGAATCTCGAGCATGGTAAGTAATACTGGTGTTGATGCCAGGACACAGAAGGGTGTGAGGCGACTGAAGCAATGACAAAATAATGGTGGAAAAGAATTAGATTGAGCATTCATCGACCCAAGTGGACTTAACAACCACACCACCCATATTGAAGTCACGTGGAAAGTCATTCATTCTGATCGCTGGCATCCTCAAGTCGAACAGGTCCCAGCTTAGGTCGAAAATGGACTACTCTAAGGCCACTGCCCTATAAGAATTTTGGTATCTCTATGAATGAACCAATTTGCAGATTTTCAAAAAGGTTGAGTAAACAGCCTCTATAACATGCCAAGCCTGAAGGAAACACCCCCGAAACTCAGATGAGCTATATACAGGGACAACAAAGTGATCCCAGTTTGAGTGCCAGTACACTTCAGAAAGGAGTGAACAGAAAAAACCACACTGTCCTCAGACTGATAAGGAGGTTGAACACTTGAGAGGCGGCTCATGAACAAGGAATTTCTAGAAAAGCAGATACCAAGGTTCAAAAGATATAACAAGTCGCATTTCATTCGTTACTACTCATTACCATTTGTGATCTCACCTTGGGTATGTGATATCCTGATAAAGAAGTATCCCTCAGGGCTCTGTGAGGAACAGTGAAGGCTCTTCCTCCGAACATTCGTAGGGATTCCATTACCACGCATTCAACGTAAGGCAAACTGAAAGAAATCAATATCTATTGTGAGAAACTCTATCACAATTCAAAATGATAGGTCTGGACACTAGGAAACTGAGTTTAAAGACTATGACTTATGACTCCCCTAAAGGTACCCACTAAACATGAAATGTTACAAAATATTGCCACGATATATTGTAAAGCTTCATTTCGTAATATGAAAATACAACATTGTATCAATTCTGCTGCTTTATTCGTGTTGACAATATAACAAAGAAACCTACTGATGAATTGTTTGTAACTTATAAAATGACCCCTCATTTTAGTTTAAATAGCAAAATTGCATCAACAGTATATTTTCATTAAAATTGTAGTATAACATAGAATAACTACGAACAATATCAGTGCAACGTTACATATGGAACTATCAGTGAACTTTCAATTGTAATTTTGCATTGAAATTAATACTTCATTGAGTTTGTAGATAACATGAGCTAACTACGAACAATATAGCTACAATTCATGAGATGCAACACATATTTTATTATTAATTGAAACATTGAACATTATATGAAATCAATCCTCTTGATTACTGAAACACTTACGGAGATTGAGGTTTCGTTTAACTCCATTGTGATATTCGAATCACTGCTCAAATCATCAAATCTTATCTCACATCAAATTGTACTAAGCTGTTGTAGAAAAAACTTTGAGCTCGCACTCACTCTGGATCCTAAGAAATATTCATATCATCTAGTGAATATTCTATGAACATCTCTTTAGGGTAAATTATAAGAATACCCTCATCATACCTTGGGAGATAAAGATTTCCAGAATCAAGTAAACAATCCTCAACTCTCAAGTTTAACCGATAGATAAATCACCTCACCTAACAGGTAGATTCCTGATTAATTCATTTCATTATCATTTTCTTTGTTTCAGGTTCTTATGCAGTGCAGTGCCTTCAAGCCGTAGAACCGATATATTGTGAATATTTTGAAATTTTATCATGAAATAGTCGGGACGATCATTCGTATGTAAAATCTAAAACATGTAATTTTCCCATACTCTTCATTGAATGTTGCCAGTAACCTCCATAAAATATAACAATGAGATTTCATTTGTTCATTGAACATGAGATGTTACTGTACTTCATAAACAATGTTACAATAATTTTGCTGGAATGATTCTTTCGCAAACATCACATTCATAATATTGCTGAACGTCTGTTTTAGTATAGTTGCTGCGACTTTGCATTAAGATAGCGACATTATCTGAAGTAACATCACACATAACATTGAAGAACTGCTGCAATATTGTTGAGATTTTACTTCGCTTAGTGGGTACTCACTTTGGTCTGTCATCCAATGATGGCATTCTATCCTTCCCCACCACAGCATCGACTTCCTTCTGAGCTTTCTCCTGCACCTCCGGATTCAGAATCAGATACAGAAAGCAAAAGCTCAGCGTGTTGCTGGTGGTTTCCGAACCAGCCATGAACATGTCCATGCATGTGGCCAATAGCTGGTCTTCGCTGAAGCTCTCTGGTTTCGTATCGGAAGACTCTAGGACGTTCAGGTATACGTCCATAACGTCCCTGGGAACATCTGGCTTACGGGTTCTCTTGTGTCGTTCGATCTCCTTGTGGAGGAAGTCCCAGATGCGCTTGTGAGAGTTGGTGTACAGCTTGAATCCTGACATCTCTGGCGCCAGATACCTTACGTAGATAAAAGCAGAAATTATTTTCGATGAATTCACATCATGCAAAATAGCTCAGTTAAACGGTCACGATGAAGATCATCTCGTTTGAAAGATTCAAGTAGTCGGTTCCTCTGCGGTTTCATGTGATGTTGAGGATGCTGAATCTGAATCTACAGTTTGCAAACAAAATTTCCTGAAATATTCGCGAAAAACAGCGAACTTTTCAAAAGTATCTCAGTTTTCTGCCCGTTACACAAAAAGTACACATTTAATCGAAAATACCACTTCATAAAAAGTTGAAGTGGATACAATCTTCTATATTTGATTTCTCTTGCTCATGAATGTGAGACCAACAAGTGAGGAGCTAGAGCGAGTTAAAAATTGACCGAATTTGCGTATTCTGGAAAATAAGTACTCTGTCGTATTTCGGTACAAATTTGATACTGCGATTTCAGAGGTGTGCAGTACTAACATGTCATTCGTTATTCTGATCACAATTCCAAATGATATTTTTTTCACCCAACTTACAGTGGCTGTAGCTCGCATGGGGTTCATTTTTGAGCACATGTTCATATATAGAAATAGTCATATTTTGATCCCGATACACCCTCCAAACTTCCACATCGAATTTCGAATCAGTTTGTATCTATGCTGAAATAATTGAGGTTGGAGTATCAGAAGATTCTCAGTAACGACTACGAAATAGCCACAATGCTCGAAGTGGAATGAAATGTTAAATAAATACAAAATGCTCAAAGTCATTTGCACACAATGTTCATGAAATGAACAACAATGGTAGATTTCGGGAGAAAAACAACTATTTCCCTGGCTGGTGCAACGCAAAACATTGAATTACATCTTTTCTAGTCACATGGGGTTGCTTTCATATTGTCTATGGAGGACGGAAATATAATGCCGACTTGATTTTTGTTTGGCTAGGCTACGCTTAGTCGGCGGTCTCAGGACTGCTGGATGGAGACTGTCCTGTACTGATAAGAGTCAAAAAGCTCGAAATCGGTCTGTAGGTGTCCAGCGTGGCCTGGCTTTATCGAAATCAATAGGCATTCAGGAAAGAATCTCTTGTATCCCCAGGTAACAAGCTGACGTCATTTGTACGTCATTATCACGTCAGGCCTGACGTCAGGATGACTTCCAAAATGACGTCATAATGACGTTTATATGACCTTCTGATTCAAAGACGAATGACGTCATTTTCATGTCGTCAAAATGACGTCATCCTAATGACGTCAAAATGACGACATCCTAATGGCGTCAAAATGACGTGATCTTTACGATTATTTATATCACTGAAATCTTCTGCATGTTTTAGTTCATTTTGTGCTATTTCGAAATTTTCTGTAGGTAAAAAAAAAAACACTGTTGCATTAGAGTTGTTTCAATATCATCAGAAAAGATGAGATTTTTTTGGTTTAATTATATTGATGTTCCTTCACCACATTAAATGCAAAATAATATTATAGGTAGGTACTATAAATACCAGTTTCATAAAATGTTCTTTTTATTGGGAACTTATCCCATTCGGATGATGCACTCAAGAGATTTCTCAGAACCCTATGGTATTCCTTCAATGGCGTCCAATTCACATTCTGCTCTTTCGGCATACACCACTTGTCTAAAATAATGAACATGCTGCCATTCTCAAATTCTACTACTTGATATATGAATAAGTATGACCACCACACCACGCAACATAGATAGCCGAATAACATGATAATCTTCTATGTATTGTTATTTTGTTGTTATGGTCATCATGGCCGCAACGGCGAAGCGAAAGTGAACGGCTTGGCCACAGCCGTCTTCTGAAGACGGCTGTGGGTTGGCGCTGGCGGTCGACGTTTGCATGTCTGCGCAAGGTCCGTGCCGACCAATCAAATACAGTTCTCTACGCACTCTCCCGCTCTGATTTGAATTCACATTCCGGAATAACAACGTTATAATCTTTTTATGTCGTGACATTCGGTCTTATATTTTTAATTGCTATAGGGAGAATACTTTGCACAGAAGGTAAATAATTAACAATTATCTCAGAGACCATCGAAAACACACATCTCGCACAGATTAGAGGAAAAATTATTATGAAGCATAATATATGATGAGTGACATAATAATATATGTTATATAACATAACTACTAACGTTTTCATAATATAACAGAGATGGGAAACTTCTTGATTATGGATTTTCCTTGATGTAGATGACTCAATAAATGATGGTCATAATTAGTCATGAAAATGACCATCAGATGACGTCATATTGACGACATATCAAGGACGTCTATATAACGTCATATTAAGTACGTCAAAATGACGTCATTTTGAGGTCATATGACGTCAGTATGCGTTTTCACGAGTTGATGCATAGATTTCGGAAAGATGTAATTCAATGTTCTGCGTGGCATTAGCCAGGAGAGTAGTTGTTTTTCTCCCGGAATCTACCATTGTTTTTCATTTCATGAACATTGTATGGAAATGACTTAGAGCTTTTTGTATTTATATATTGATTCTGAGTATGTTCAAATGGCCATATGATGTAACCTTCTGACAAGTTGTTATAGCCATTCACTGACTTTCTCCGTTAGTTTTTCTTAGTCTAAAATATTACCTCAGAATCGGGAAGTGGCTGAAAGTGGTGCCAACCATGGAGATGGACCTGAAGAGCTCGTTCAAGATCCCTTGCAGCTCTCGCATCCTGTTGTCTTCAGCACCATATCTGACTCCTGCTAGCATCCTCCACAGGCTGTTCAGGATGTGGACGTTGAACAGGGTGGGCACGTTGAATACCGCTGAATCGTTGTGGTGTATGGTTTTGTAGATGTGTTCTACTAGTTCCTGAGCTTCGTCTTCCACCATCGTTGACATGCTCTTGGTACCGAATCCAAATTCCCTGAGCTGCTTGAGGAAGAATCGACGTTGGTCTTGCCAGAATTTCTCGTCCACTAGTAAAAGCCCTGGAAAGAATTAACGTACGTTTGAAGAATGTTCATTTTACAAGCGTGCGTGATTCACCCTATACCCGCACGCAATTCAGTTTGGATAGTGTCATTTTCCCACACCTAAACTTTACCGTCTCAATGTGTCCATAGCTAGAACCATTACCGTAAATTAGACGAAAAAAAAAAGAAAGAAGACTGGAAGGAGAGAATAGAATAAAATAGAATAGAATAGAATAGAATAGAAATTTATTCGTGCAGTACATACATAAAGTGTTTGCATACGTCAATAGTATTACATAGTATTAGTATAAATCAAAATCAGTATAACAAAAACAAAAACAAAGAAACATTGTACAGTGTATATACAGTCAGATACCAAACTCTTGGCAGAGAATACAGACGTAAAATCAGATATATAGCAGTACACAAAACATTTGTTACTAGGCAGTTAACGAAATAGTTAAACGTTCGAAACGAACAAAATATTCTCCAAATGTGTAGAAGGCATTCTCTAAAGGAATGTTCTTGATTTTTACTCTAAAAGTGCTTATACTCATGTCAGGGGACTGAAACTCATTAGGTAACACATTAAAACATTATAAGGATAAATATAAATAAGAGTTTTGCGATTTACCCAACCTATATTTGGGTAGTCTCGACCTTGTTTTGGCCCTGGTATCATGGTGGTGTATGTATTCCTGACTGGTAACTTTATTCTCACCTCTTGATATTTTGGCATAACACAAACATTCATATATGAAGCAAGATCGCAGAGTCAAGATATGGAGATTTTTGAAAAAAGGTTCACAATGGTCATCATGTTTAGCCTGTGCCATAATTCTGACGACTTTTTTTTGTAATTTGAATATTATATCTGGATGACATGATGAACCCTATACTATCAGTCCGTATGTCATTATGCTGTGGAAAATGCCAAAATAGGCTACTCTTGAACAGTCTGTTGTTATTATTTTGCTAAAATGTCTTATCATAGGCGCTTCGATAATTTTCGTCCAAATACACTCCAAGAAGATTGACTGGTTCAAAATTTTGTATATTATCTTTGGTTGAGAAATCTAAAATTTTGGTTTCATCATCATTTATAGTGAGATAGTTGCTTCTAGACCAGTTTGTTATGAAACTTTCAGATTCGTTAGCGTTGGAGAGTAGATTAGAAGGCATGGTGTCACATAAGAGAAAATAAGTGGCATCATCAGCATACATTACCAGAGACACATTCGTTAGGTTGAAAGGCATATCATCAATATAAATAATAAATAATACAGGACCAAGGACAAGACCTTGGGGTACTCCATAATTGACTTTCTTAGATTTTGATATATCACTGTTGAATTTAACACGTTGCTGGCGATCTGCAAGGTAGGATATAAATAGATTCAAGAAGGGACGAAGGAAGAAAAAAAAAGGGGAAAAAAAAGTTATGTTACTCTTTCAAGTAAATACTCACCTCTCCTTTTCCCCCACGTCCTCAAATCGAAAAAATCTCCCAAGGGCCTTCCGGACAGGTCATCGGAGGCCAAGAACTCCCTGTTCGCTTTCGTCCCGTGCACCACGACGATCGTTTCCCTTCCGACCTTGAGCCCCAACACAGGGCCGTACTGGCCCGCCAGTTCAGCAGTGGCCAGCAGGAAGTGGTCGACGCGTTTCTGCAGAGCGGCTACTCGAAGGGCGCTGCCGAAGAAGGGCCACCATTTTGGGCCAGGGGGAAAGTTCTTGGGCTTCCTGGTGTCGAGGTAGGCCAGTAGAACGAAGAGGGCGAGAAAAAGGGCGATCACCAGAAACATGCCTGGTTCTGGTGGAATAAAGAGAATGAGGTTGTTCAGGGTTTATTGATTCATCGAGAAAAGAAACAACATTTGAAAGTTGAATGCCACAACGAGGTGTTTCACTAGCCATTACCAAAAGCTTCACAGGGCGAAGCCTGTGATTTTAAAAAATATATGTGTCGCAGAGTGACGCCTCTGCTATGAACACACAGTAGTTATTAGGGATGAGATTTTCCTGTCAGTTGACAGTGGCAGAAATCAAGAAATTAAATTATCCTTCAAGCGTGGAGTTTTCATAATTTAGTTGTTTTTGCATTGAAACTCGGCATGGATATGCCAACGAAGTCGCCTGCTGCAACCTCCTTCCCAAGGAGAGGGTCTCGGGTGTTAAATAACCTGAAAGGTTTCACACCGGAAGGTGCTGCTCAGAGTACTCCTTCGTCAGTCTCACGACGACATGGCGCCCAACAAAATGGTAACAACGACCCACAAATCGAATGCCCTGAGAAGAACGAATCACAGTTTCGTAGTTCTGAAAAAACTACGTGGCGCCCATCTACAGAAGAAATCCTTCATGAGGTTACTTCATTAACAGCTCAGCTGTGGAATGAAATAAGAACTGACAAACTAAAACCAACATTAGCTCAGATAACAAGCTTTTCTGGTTATGACTGGGAATCTCCCCAACATTTTCTCCAGGAAATGAAACGATACTTTGATCAAAATAATATACCAACAAGACACCAAATGATGCAAGTACAGCAAGTTTTGGAAGGTGAAGCAAAGAAATGGTTTTCTGCTTTTCATGGTAAGCAATTGCACTTCGATTCATTCTGTAATCGTTTACTGGAACGTTTTGACAACGCATCACTTCATGGAAAGTTGTACGCAAAACTTTATGGTGAAAAACAGAGCAATGAAGCTGCTGCTGTTTTTTTGACTAGAAAACTCAGTTTGTTTCAACGACTCGAACCCAACCTTCCAGAGACTACCATAATATCTAGAGTGGTTGAATTACTGTTACCAGAGTTGCGCATCAACTTGAGAAGTAGGGAATTCTCTAGTATAGAAGAGCTTATACAAGGTGCTTCAGTGATAGAAAACGATTTGAAAGAAGTCAAAAAACCGACACAACCAATAACAGATGGTCCCAGGTCACCATGCCATTATTGTAACGGTTGGCATTTCAATAGAGATTGTCCGCAAAAGAGTCGTCGCAATTTTTCAGCTGAAAATCATAGAAACATCAGTTCCCAGGAAAACTAGACCAGGGTCGGTGTGAGCCAGAATACCCGACCCCTCGCCCAACCCTAACCACACTACATAAGACCACATACGACCGAAATTCAACTCATATCCGAATTCTCATCAACGACCAGCCGGTAGATGCATTGTTAGATACTGGAGCAAGTCATTCCTTCTTGAAATCATGTTTCGTCAACGAATCAAATATAATAAAGAAACCGACTACTGTTAGACTAGCAAATTCCATCAACACGTTGAATACATTAGGAAATGTTGTAGTTCCAGTTTTGGTTCAAGGACAAGAATTTGCTACAATGTTCCACATTGTTGAATCTTTATCTGAGGAAGCGATATTGGGACGTGATTGGCTGCAAACGCATCAAGCAGTGATAGATTTCGTTTCTGAATGTCTCTACATGGGGACACAAAGAAGAATAACAGTTCATTGGAATAGGTACCAACATGCGGAGACAATAACTAAAGAACCATTGAGATTCAATCCTGGACAACTAAGTACTGAAAATACAGGAAAATATGAATATTTATTCAAAGAAGGACTCCATCAACCTACCACTAAATTGGTGGAGCATAGAATAAGACTCAAAGATCAAACTCCTTTCAAAATAAGGAAGTATCAATATTCTCCTAGAAAAAGAGAAATCATACATGAGGAGGTAAATAAAATGCTGACAGCAGGTGTGATTCGTCGTAGTCACTCTAGTTACTGTTCTCCTATCGTGATCGTCGAGAAAAAAGACGGATCTCCTCGTTTTTGTGTTGATTATCGACAGTTAAATAACCAAACCGAACCAGAAGTGTCACAATTACCAGCTATTCGAGACACGATCAGAGACTTGGGAAATGCAAAAGTATTTTCTTCAATTGACTTGAAGAGCGGATACTGGCAGGTATCGATGCATGAAGGAAGTATACCGCTTACAGCTTTCGGAACCCCTGATGGAGCTATGTATGAATTCCTTGTGATGCCATTTGGACTGAGAAATGCGCCTTCAACTTTTCAAAAACTCATGACTGAAGTTTTGGCTGGATACATTGATCGTTTCACGAAGGTTTACTTAGACGACATAATCATTTATTCAGAAAATCATGAAGAACACCTTATGCATCTGGGTTTGGTATTGGAAAGATTACGCATACATCACCTGAGATGTTCTTTCAAAAAATGTGTGTTTGGCTCTTCTGAATTGGATTATCTTGGACACAAAATAACGGATCAGTCAAACATTCCTCAAGAACAGCATATTCTTCGGGTAAAAACATTCACTAGACCAAGAACGATGAAAGAGTTGCAGTCATTTCTGGGCACAGCTAACTGGTTGCGAGAGTACATCCCAAATTTTGCTTCGTTAACGGCTCCGCTCACTGAACTTACAGGAAAAAAAATTTTCAAGTGGACACCACAAGCTGAACAGGCATTTAAAAAATTGCAAGAATCACTAAATCAACCTTTGATGCTACATCGTCCTAACCATGATTTGCCTTTCATTCTCCAGACTGATGCCAGCCAATATGGAATGGGAGCAGTTCTCTTTCAATGGGGTCCTGATGATCAGCGTCAGATTATTTGTTATGCTAGTTCAAAATTCAATAAATCAGAGAAGAAATACCACATCAACGAGCAAGAAACACTCGCTGTTGTTTGGGCATGTAAAAAATTTAGACCTTACCTAGAAGATAAACCATTTACGTTGATAACGGATAGTCGTGCACTCACTTGGCTGGATAGATTCAAGGATGAAAAAGCTAAATTAACCAGGTGGTCCTTACTTCTACAAGAATTCATTTTTACTGTACAGCATTGTTCAGGAAAAGATAACCAGTTTCCTGATTTTCTGTCCAGAAACCCCTCTGAAGATGTCGAGCC